CGGCGGCACAGCCCACCCAGGCATCTGGAGGCCGGTACAGGGTGTCAGCCGATCGAAGCCCCAGACTCACCTGGCTGAACCGCTGGCCGGAGAGCGGAGAGGGGCGCGAAGATCAGGGAATTCGCCAGTTTGGATCCTTGGCCTATTCCACACTTTTCCCCCCATTAAATCCAGAACCCGTCACATGATAATCAAGAAAAAGATCCCAGTTCCGCTCTCCGAACGACCGCGGTAGAGGATTTCTCACTTCTACCTCAGGGCCGCGCCCACATCCGGGGCCGGTTCTCACCGCCTGGGCCTACCGTATAGGTAGGAAGGACGCCAATCTGCGTTCAGAGGCCTTTTCCCTGCGGTAATTGGACCATTTGGCCGCCAGTGCAAACCAACCGACCTTTCCTTGTTCGGGTTTGCTAAAAGGCCAGCAATAAAGAAGCCGCTTGCCCGCCTCTCTATTACTACTGGTTGCAAGAAAGGTCAGTCAAAGTACTGCCTGGAGTGTTCGTAGTCCCATTGGACAGGAAGATGCCAATCAAACTAACCACCGCTAGGATACGCCCCCGCGGGGCGCTCCACCCCTTCCATCGCCCTCCCCGCCCGCGCGCGGAGACTGCAGGCTCAGGCGCAAAATCCTGCGGGAGAGGGGGTGGGGCGAAGGCTGTGGAGGCAGCGCGCCCGCCGGCAGCCTCGTTGTGAGCTCTAGGTCTCTCGCCGCTGTGGCGGTGCTCGCCTCCGTGTCTCCCGCGCACCCCAGCTGCCTCCTAGCGGCGTGGCGCTCGCTCCTAAGGTGAGAGCGGGCATCACCTTCGCGCTTGGGCGGGCAGTGTGTAGGTCGTTGGGTTCTGACAGAATCCTTAGGATGGAGCAGAACCGGCAAGGAAAGCGGCGGGCGGGATGGAGGTGAGGGCTTCGGGGCCAACGCATCTCCCTCTATCGCCGGTGACTTCCTCAGCGGCCACTGGCACCTGCGCGCCGGGATCAACTGCGGTCTCGTGCCATCTTTTGGCGGGTGGCGGAGGCTCAGCCACCCTTCTTCGGAGCCGTCGCCGTCTTCGATCCTTGATGTTGCGGGGCCGAAGCCCGGCGCCGCCTTCTGTCCCTCCGCCCCCTCCCCCGGCCCCTGTTCTTCTATTTCTTCCACACGCGCGGCGCTGGGGGTGCGTCGGTCCTGGAGGGCTTGCAGGGGAGTTGGGTGGCGGATTCCGGACGTGTGGGGAGAGGTCGGCTAGCGGCCGAAGCAGCGGGCTCGGGAGGAGGGGGCGACTCTGCTCTGGAAGCAGGCTGAGAGAGGGTCGCTGCCCAGCACCCACTGAGCCTGCAACAGTTTGGTTTTCTGATTCCAGCACTGACTACAAAGCGGGTTCTGAAATCCTTTGCACCGGCCTTGAGGGATATTTCCTGTCTGGAAACGGTACGGCGGTCCATCAGCGTGCTTCATCTGTTCTTATTTTTATCTACCTGATGTTGACAGTCAGTGTTCTGGTATTGTCCCTTCTAGTCGTGGCCTTTCCAACTCAATACATCTTGTATAACTTCGGGAATCATTCTGTCACTATCTATCACCCCTTTTATTTTTAGCCTGGCAAGAAAAAAAAAAAGGAACTGCTTTATATCACCATAAACTGAGTGGGGAAGTACAGAATGTGGAACAATTTATTAATTTAAGTATCTCCGTACCAAGTAATTTTTAAATTCATTGTGAATGTATTAAATATTTTGTAATTTACACTTGTTCCTTTTGTTAATGGTATGTCCTGCTTACTTTGAGGGTTTTTTTGTTTCTTGTGTACTTTGATTTTATAATTTTGGGTTAGCTTTAGCCCACTAGACATTTTAAGATTTTTTGTTTTCCTCTGATACTTTGACTATAGCCTTAGAATTTGCTCTTGTTTCTAGGGATTATGTATTTTAACAAAATTTGTTTTCTCCCAAACTGGACTTTCTCCTAACATTTTTAAAGTTGGAAGGCAGAATTCTGAGAATTTGGAAACTATGTACTTTAGCCTAGGGAGCCTTAAAATAGCATAACAACTTGAAATGCTAACTTTTTGGAGTAAGGGTTGCTAAGTTTAAGAGAAGGAAATAGGTATCCCCTGTTAGTTGTAGTGACTCAATGTCCAGGTTCGGAATATGAAGTTTGGGGCCTGAGACCAGACAGAAGCTGCTTACAGGAAAATTTCTTGCTAGGGAAATAGTGTGCCTCCCACACAGGTTAGTTGTTAGCATGCATCAGACAGTATTAAGACACATACAAGTACGGTAGGAAGCCTCTGTGTTCTAATTTTCACCACTTTATGGTAGGGCAAGAAAATGTGGTAAGCAAATCAACTATAGTATACAATAGAGGCACTCATGCACAGGTAAGCCTCCAAGAGTAAACTTTGAGTCCAAATTGGCACTTGATTTTTTAGAGCCCTCAAAATCAAATAGATGGCCTAAGCAATTTTTATACCATGAACCTTTTTGGCTAGTCCATTTCATGCAAAATTGCAGAGACGTTGTGATGAAAAAACTATTCACTAGACTGAGGCATGTAAAATTCGGGTGGCATGCCAAAAAAAATGGGGATCAAAAAGTAGTTGGATTTCTTAAATATTATCTTATTTAATCCTTATAATCCTGTCTCGTAAGTACTGTAATTAATGTCCTCCCTTTTTATAGATGAGTTAACCAAAACTTAAGTTAACTTACTTGTTCCAAGATTTCTCAGCTAATAAGTTGGTGGTGTGAGTCACATCTAAGCATCTGATTACCAACCCTACATGGTGGTTATGCTTTACCACCACAGTAAAAGTGGCTTCTTAGAGATTTGGTGGGAGACTAATTAGTGGAAAATAATGCTGCAAAACCATAAACTGAATAAGAATATTGTATATATTCAGTAATACTTTGAGATCATTGTATAATAGGCACTGTTGAATGTTGCTGGGGGTATAAGGATGGAGTCACTATCCCTGTCTTTGAGGAACTTTTTTTAGTGGCAGAGATAGATATTTGAACAAATAATGATATATATTATAAGAGAGTGCCGTAGAGTCTGTGGTTTCATGGAAAGAGAATTCAGTTAAAGTTGAGACAGATAAGCATTTGAATTTCTGTTTGGCTTTGTGATCTTAAACATGATAACAAACCTTTTGCAGCTTCAGTTTCCTTATCTGTAAAATGGAGAGGATAATAATTCAAAGGGTATTATTAACCATTAAACAAAATATATAAGTACTAGCACATTGGTATGCCCTGAATAAAGAAGAAAGAACAAATAATTTTAAGAGACAGTAGAGAAGGGGTTGTGGGGGTTTAGCAGGGAGCTATCACTGGAGCCTTAAAGGGTAAGTGGTAGTTTCCTCTGGTAGGGAAGGAGGACATTTTACACAGATAGAACTAAACAGGAATATGGATGGTTGAAGGAATGGCAAGTAATTGTGGCTTTGTATAAAAATTATTTGTGGCCCTGACTGGGTGGCTCAGTTGGTCAAGTGCACCAAAAGGTTGCGGGTTCGATCCCAGGGGTTGGGGCGTGTATGGGAGGCAACCGATAGGTGTTTCTCTCTCACATCGATGTTTCTTTTTCTCTCAAATTTTTATTTTTTAATATTTTTAATTGATTTTTAGAGAGAGAGGAAGGGAGAAAGAGAGAGAAACATTGATGTGAAAGCGAAACATCCATCAGCTGCCTCCTGCACACCCCTCACCGGGGATCCAACCCAAAACCCAGGCAGGTGCCCTGACCAGAAATAGAACCTGTAACCTTTTGGTGCTGGTAGGATGCCCAACCAAATGAGCCACACTGGCCAGAGCAAATTTTTATTTTTTTAATTCTCACTTGAGGATATGCTTTTTATTGAGTTTCTTTGGGGGGAGGGGAGAGAGAAATATCAATCAGTTGCCTCCCATATGTGCCCTGACCAGGGATCAAACCCACAACCTAGGAATGTGCCTTGGTCAGGAATCGAACCCACAACCTTTCGGTGCATGGGATGATACTCCATCCAACTGAGCTACCCCGTCAGGGCTCCCCTCTCTTAAATCAATAAAAACATATCCTCAGTGAGGATTAAAACACAACAACTATTTGCGAAGGCCTGATTTAAATGGTAATTGTATATAAATGTGGCTGGGAAAAGTGACTACCGCCCAGTTTTACTGGTTAGAAATCGCGTACATAGATACTAAAATTACAGGAAACATCAACAGTTTGTGCAGTGTTATATTTTTATTTAATATTTATCTTTACTATTTCTTCATAGTAAATGAAAATGAAACTTTCAAACTTTCAAATGAAGTTAAAACTTCCTTTTCTTTTTTTTAATTTATTGATTTGAGAGAGAGAGAGATGGAGATCGATTTGTTGTTCCACTTATTTATGCATTCATTGGTTGATTCTTGTATGTGCCCTAACCTGGGATCAAACCTGCAACCTTGTTGTATCAAGATGATGTTCTAACCCAGCCAGGAAAAACTTCATTTTTAAACCTATCCATCTAAGCAGCTATTTCATTATTATATTGTGGTATTTCATTAAATAGAAGAACAACCTTAAAGTGACTGTTGCCTTCCCTTAACCCCTTTACCTAGTCTGTAACTACCTAGAATCAATATTGCAGAGTACCCTTTGCATATATGTTGACTGTCTTTTCCAAATCCAAACTTGAGGCATGACAGTATGGCAATGTTTTAAATTGGGACTGCCCTTGAAAATGCAAGAAAAAATCCCATGCTTGTATCTTCCCTTCAGGTTAGTGCGGAATCATAAATGCATTCGATTTATAAATGTGGACTACTTGATGACCAGAATCATATGACTTAAGTTGAAAATATTAAATAACATTTAGGAAAGCTGCATCTTGAGTCCAACTTGTTAGTCTCATACATATCGCTAAAATGACACAAAATACAGAGGTGAGTTTTCAGATGAGAAAAAACAACTGCTTCCTAGAACAGGTAGTTTTAGAGCACTAGGAAAGAAAATATACTGGATTTCTTTCTGAATAGTGAACAGAAACTGGGACAGGAAATGGCTGTGGCAGAACCACTACCTGATAATAATCATAACATGATTAATTTTGACATTTAATGAGAGGAAGTAAAGGGGGAAAAATGCACTGTATGCAGCTTTCCATTTTCAAAAACAGTAGGGGAAAGGGACTGTTACAAGTATATTTTTGCTGCAGTCAATAAATTGTTGCTTTCTTTTCTATAAAAGAAAAAAAGAAGTATATCCATAGAAATTTGGAAGATATGTAATAAGCACTC